TGACTTGCAGACCTCTGCTAGCCCAGCCCTGAGCTCCGCCACCCCTCGCTCTGTGAGGGCCCCTCACTCCTGACTTGCAGACCTCTGCTAGCCCAGCCCTGAGCTCCGCACCCCCTCGCTCTGTGAGGGCCCCTCACTCCTGACTTGCAGACCTCTGCTAGCCCAGCCCTGAGCTCCGCCACCACCCAGCTCTGCCGGGGCCCCTCACTCTCCACTCGCAGCCCCCTGCTAGCCCAGCCCTGAGCTCCCCACCCCCCAGCTCTGCCAGGGCCCCTCACTCCCGACTTGCAGACCTCTGCTAGCCCAGCCCTGAGCTCCGCCACCACCCAGCTCTGCCGGGGCCCCTAACTCTCCACTCGCAGACCCCTGCTAGCCCAGCCCTGAGCTCCGCCACCCCCCAGCTCTGCCGGGGCCCCTCACTTCCGACTCGCAGACCCCTGCTAGCCCAGCCCTGAGCTCCCCACCCCCCAGCTCTGTTACACATAGCTGTTACACATAGTCTTACAAGCTCTTTTTCTTGGTGCGAGCAAGTTTTCAGCCATTGAAGAAATGCAGTGTTGCTGTTAACATTGTTTGGTTCTTTGTGGGGGGTGCTGTGGTGAGCAGCAGGAGAGTTTGCTCTTTGCCTTCATCTTGCTAACAACAGTCAATACTGGAGGCGGAGATGCTCCTTGGGAATCAGACGCTGGTGTTGAGCTGAGATTCCTGCGGGACAGGATTTCCCTGCATGCTGTTTGTGACCATCTCTGTTCAGGGACAGGTGCATTTATCTAAACAAAACCAGTGACAAAGTATATCCCAGCCTCTGCATCACTGATTTCTCCTCCAACAAACCCCAAGTCACAGGGCCCCAACATCTGCTCCTGCCCAGCAGTTGGGCAGGGATAAAGATAAACCAAGCTCCCCTCAGCTCTAAATCGAGTCTGAGCTCGGAGCAGAGACTGGGCCAGGACTGACTCGGTTCTTGGCCTGTACAGGGCGAGAGGTTCCCTGTGAGAGCAGAGGAGTGATACCTGGCCAAGGGTTCCCCCCCTGACGCCGGGTGCTGTCCCGCCCGCTCCCTCTGGCAGCCCTGCCCCCGGGGTTAGCCCGGCCGCTCCTGTTGATTCCAGTGGAATGAAGCTTCCTGAGAAGCAAAACTAAACTAGTCTGGCCCGAGTGCTGCCTGGACCCATTTCAGGGAGATCACAGAGGGCAGCTGCCCCCTTTGGGCCCCCCCAGCCCTCTTCCCATTTGAATTGCTGGGGGAAGTTTAGAGCAACAGAACAGGCCTGCATGAGGGGTGGGGGCTACCCAGGACCATGGGGTGAGGCACCCGTGGGAGGCGGCACAGATGGCGAGGGAGCTCCTACCTTCCCCACCTGCTGAGAACCCCCACCCTGAGCACACTGCAGTCCTGCTAGCTCACAGGTGATGAGGGGAACCCTGATCTCTCCAGCCAGCACCCCAATTTCCAGCAGTACCTCACAGGTTCTACGGAGGAGTATTCAGGATGCCCAAGCCCCTTACCTTGGCGTCAGGCCCATCTTCCATTCCCCGGTTCCCAGGCCTGCCCCCCCACAAGCAGGGGGAGCGCTAGGGAGCAGCAAAGCGAGCTGCCCCCAGGGGCCCGACAGCAGACAGGCCCCATCTCTGGGCTCAGAGAGACCTGTCCATGTCCAGCAGCCAGGCCCGGGCCCCGTTGCCTGCCCAGCCCAGCCCAGCCCGGCACAAACGACCCGGGTGTGGCCTGCTGAGCGGCCCAGGGAGCTGCCCGTGTCCGTCATGCCAGAGGGCACTGGGCACCTGCCCGGCAGAGGATTCCCTGCATTCCTGGGCGCCCAGCAGGGCGGAGGTGGAGACCAAGCTGACAAAGGGCCCTGGAGCCTGGCCCAGGACACACCAGGGGCCTGGCTCTGTGTCCCTCCCCCGGATCAGCACAGGCTACAGGGGCTTTGAGCTGCTTGCTGGGGGACGCTGGCGGACGGACTGAGATCACAGGGACGCTCCCAACAGCCGTTTGGGACAGGAAGTGAAGGAGAATCCCACCCTGCAGTGACAGTGCCGGGGGAAGGGAGGGCAGGGAGCTGCCCATGTCAGGGTTTGGTCACGTGAGCTAACAGCCTCCCTCTGCCAACCCCCCCAGCGCTCTACGGCTCCGCCAACCAATGCCCAGCTGGTAGCACAGCGTCCCCAGCGCCCGCCGGCCTGGGACAGCGTCTGTCAGCAGGGACCCTCCCTCCTCCGTGCGGGGGAAGTGCCTGGCCCAGAGAGATCCTGATGCGGAGCCTGGGGGTCAGCACTGACTTGGGGAACAGCGCCCCCGGGAACCTCCACCCCAGGGCCTGCAGTGCCAGGGAATGTCTCCCATCTCAGCACTGGAGGAACAGGCCACTGGGCAGCGTCTCTCCCAGGCACCATCGCTCCCAGCCCGGGCCTGGGCAATGGAAGAAACGAACACTCAGCTGGGGGTAGGGTGACCGGATGTCTCCATTTTCGAGGGACAGTCCCAATATTTGAGGCTATGTCTTATATAGGCACCTATTACCCCCCAGCCCCGTCCTGATTTTTCACGTTTGCTGTCTGGGCCAGGGTCGGCCCAGGTGCGAATCCCAGGCAGCTCTGCCGAACAGGGCTTGTGCTCCCCTCCCTGCTGGGAGCTAAGCAGCAGCCCTGGCCCGGCGCTATGGGTCAGATCTGTAATACGGCCCCGCGCCCCCATCTCAGCGCTATGGGGCTGGATCTCCAATACGGCCCCGCGCCCCCCATCTCGGCGCTATGGGCCAGATCTGCAATACGGCCCCGCATCCCCGGCTATGCGCTATGGGCCAGATCTGCAATACAGCCCCGCATCCCCGGCTATGCGCTATGGGCCAGATCCGCAATATGGCCCTGCGCCCCCCGGCTCGGTGCCATGGGCCAGATCTGCAATACGGCCTCGTACCCCCCACCCCTCAGTGCTCTGTGCAGGATCGGCCCAGCTCTGCGGAGACACAGGGAGGCAGGATGATAAGTTGAAAGCTGCTGGCACCTAGTGGCTATTTAAGAAACTTGAGCGGAAACTGGCAGGATTTGGAGCGGGAGCTCCAGGACCCTCTTAGCTCAGCTGTTCTGGGCTCCTGAGGGGCGTTTCTTCCAGCATCTCTCTGGCTTTGTGCCTCGCTGCCCCCTTCAGACAGACCCAACGCTCGCTGGATCTGTGCGCAGCCACCCAGCGCCCTCTGCAAACACTGCGTGATCCCCAGCAGGTCGGTACAGACTGTCCCTTCCACCTGGGGAAACTGAGGCACGGAGTGAGGGCACAATAACCCCTGCATTGCCAGGACAGGCTGATCTGATAGCCACCAATATGCACTCCTCTCCCCATCCCCTGCCCCACAACCATTGAACAGCTGGGCACTGACTCCCCAAGGGGGCTGAGAAAAGGAACCAAGAGCAGGGGGGGGGCTTCCAAGCAAGGACCCCCAGCCCCTCCCATAGCCCTAAAATAGCTCCTGGCGAAACCCCAGGCCACATCCCCCGGGGCTTCACTTCACGCGAGGGAATCCGCTGCACTGAGCTCAGGGGAGTTACCCCACCAGAGGTTTTGGCCCCCAATGTTTCCCTTGCACCTTCCGCCCCCAGGCTCCCTGTGAACCTCTGACAGCTGCAGCAAGCCCTGAATTTTCCAGGCCTGGGAGCTTAGCAGAACCGAGCTGACGGGGGCCCAGCGGCGCTGCACCAGCTTAGCCCAGCCCCAGACGCTGCAGGAGGGAGGAAGGGGGCAGACTCAGCTCCCCAGTGGGGGATTCGCCCAGGACACCAACACTCCAGCAACGGGGGAACAAAACGCACCAGGCGACCTTCGCTGGCCAATACGTTTAATGGTCGTTACCCAGCCACGGGCAGCCCAGAGAGACAGAGACGAAGCTCCGCACTCCCAGGGGCTCGGGCCAGGCCGGGGCTCTGGGTGGGTCTCCCTGTGGGCGAGTCACTCATGGTTTGTTGGGACGACACCAAGGCAGCTGTGGGGATAGAGTGGGGGATGGGCCCGCTGCAGCACAGGGTCTCTGGTTAGGGAGGACGGAAGATCAGCTACTCGGGGTCAGGGCCGCCGGGGGGGGGGGGGGAAGTGGGGGCGAAGTTT